TGAGTAAGAAAAACTGAAGGAAGCAATAATTTTTTTAACTTGTTTAAACAGCATTGAAATTTTTTAAACTGTGGATGTTACATACACAAATATATAGATTGTATATATTTGTATGTGCGTGAGTATGTGAATATGTATGTGTGTGTATTTCTGTATACATATCTATATGTGCATATGTACATATGTATTCATGTGTGTGTATGTTTATTTTTTAATATTTAATTTTTGTTAGTTTGCTTTATTACATAAATGAATTTTTTACTTTTGTTAACATTAATTTAATGTCTTGTTTGTTGTAAGTTTTTTGTTTTGTCTTTTATACTGTTTTTTTCTATATTATATTTGCAATCTATTTTCGTTATTATGTTGTAACAATTATGATTATTACATTTACTAAATCTTTATCATTTTTTAACAATAGTTGTTTTTATGTTATCGTTGTTACGTTCGTCAGTTCATTACTGTTTATAACTGTAACTATGTATGTATAAACGAATGTTGTATGCAAGGTAATATTGATTTAATATAATGATTATAATTACTTTTTTATTATTATTCTTACTATTAGCAGTTTATTTAATATTGCCATTATGAATGTATTGTATTTATTATTATTATATGTATGCATTGTAGTTATTATTATCAGGTGTTCACTTGAAATTAGTTTATATTATTTGTGAATAACCTTGTTTTTTTTATTATTATTATTACCTGCAAATTATGATTTTTACATGTTTATTTTTTGAATGTTTGTTGTATGTCTATATGCTTATTATTAGTCATATTATATTTAAAAATTGGTGTTACTCCTTTGATCAGACTTCTGTATGAGTGATACCATCCTTATAAATTATTAACTTATTGTTATAAAATAATATTATACTTACAACTGTTAGTATAATATTTATTACTATTATTTTTTTTATTTATTTATTGTTATTTTTGTCCTTTATTATAATTATAATTATAAATTTCTATTACTCTTAAATAATTTGTTATCTTATTATATTTTTATAATTATTATTATAATTCTTTTTATTGTTGTTATTATTATTGTATTGTTATTATTATTTTTATTACTATTGTAATAATGACTATAAATGGAAAATAAATAGCTTGTTGTTGTTGTTGTTGTTGTTGTTGTTGTTGTTGTTGTTGTTGTTGTTGTTGTCATATTTTTATACTATATTATAAAAACTACAATTTTTACAACTTATTTTAATTTTTGCAATAGCTTATTAAATCTTATTTTAAAAAAGAAATTTCAAAATATATTATACTGATAATATTCATGACGATAGACAATTATCATGCAAATGTTGCTCTAAATGTTGTTAATTTATCCTGTCTAAAAGTATAAATATTTTTAGCTAACTTTCTAGTTTTTATAATTACAAGATAATTTCTACTTTTCCAGAAAACATGTAAGAAGTTTACTTTATGTAAGTTTTTTTATAAATTTAGTTTTATCAAAGGAATAAAAAAAATATACTGGAAAATTTTGTAAAAAATTAGGTTCTTCCGCCTTCTCAACCTATCTCTTATTCATAATTATTTTATTAATTTATATATTAGCTTGATGATTTCCTATAAAAAGTTACCTAAAATTGTTTATGATAACTAGTTTAGTGACATTAAAACCTTTTTTAATTATGTAGATAAAATCTAAAAAAATTTATTTAAGAAATTGGTCTAAAAGCATCAAAATTAATATAGTACAGGATGTCTGGCAGATCAGGGAAAACAGGAAAAAGTCAGCGAATTCAGATATCTACAAAAAAATCAGGGGCTTATCAGGGAAATTAGGTTAAATTTTAGAAAAATCAGGAAGAAATAAGGGAAAATGGCTATTCATCAAACTTACATAACTTAAATAAGTTGTATAGTGTACACGTAATATAAAAATTTATTAGAAAGATAGTTTTATGAACTTCTCTTGATACATTTAATGTGGGTTGTATTATTGTTTATATTTTTGCAGTTGAAGAGCATTTTTTTAAACGAATCTAGGTCAATTTTTGTGAAGTTGAGTTGGGGTAACTTTAAATTAAATCAAGGATAACAGGTAGAAGATCAGAGAAAAGTCAGGGAAATCCACCTCAAAGTATTATCAGACATTCAGTAGTAGGTATGAAGAATGGCTCCTTCATAGTAGGTATGAATGATGGCTCCAAAATCAAAATCAAAACCAATAGAGAAATAACAAGATTAAAGTTTCAGAGAATTGCATTAGATTTACTCTAAAAACATTAAAGATGACAGGTAGCACCTGTCAATCTTTAATGCAATGCAGAGTAACTCTAATGCAATTTTTGTAGCAATGTCATGCAGAATTTAGAAGGTCAAAAAAACTACAGAGTTCAAAAACAGTTTTATTTTTAATTTTTTTTTGTTGAATGTGTTGGTAAGTTATTATTCAACAAAAACTGTGAAAAATACCTTTTAAATACAGTCAGAAATATTTTACTTAAGAAAATCAATGGTGTTAATGCTGCTGTTGGAAAACCCATGCTGACGGCCAGAGGTCAGCTCACAAAATTAAGGTGGTATAAAGAGAAGTGGGTAATCTTTGTAAAAGTGGAAGTATTTTTCAATTATGAAAGTAATTTTAAAGTAATGAATAATTACAATAAAAAAAAAGTTATAAGTTTATATTTTTTTATTAAATATTAATATATATATATATATATATATATATATATATATATATATATATATATATATATATATATATATATATATATGTATATATATATATATATATATATATATATATATATATATATATATATATATATATATATATATATATATATATATATATATATATTAAATATTATATTTTAAGTATATAAACCCTAATACAGTAATCTGAGTGTTATTCATTTTCCTTCCAATTATTTTATTCTATTTTTATTCTATTCCAATTATTCTATTTGAGCCTACACAAAGAATTAATCACAATCTGATTAAAATCTATAAATAGAATACCACAACAATCAAGTTTTGATTATTGTGGTGATCTATTTTGGGGTAAATAGTTTCTTCTTTTTACTTCCCATACAGATTTTTTGTTTCAGGTTTTTATACAATAAATTTTAATGACAGCAAGTGGCAAAGAGAATTCTGCTATGTAAAGAAACAAAAACTTCTTAAAAAGAAATAATTTTATTGTAAAATTTGTGAAGAATAACAATTTGAGTGATTTTTCCATTTGGAAAGCAAAATCCGTTATAAATTAAAAAAAGTTGATGAATTAAATTTTTTTGTGTGAATGTTTAAATTCATAAAAGCTTTTAACAGGCTAGATTTAATTTTTTTAACTTAGATTTCTGAAACAAAAAAAATTTATATAGTTAAATCACAAATATTAAAATAGATGTTAATAAATAAACAAATAAGTTGTTTTGTTAAAAAAACAACAAACAACATTTGAAAGTTCATGTTTTCTTTATGAAGAAAAAATTTTCTGACTAAATTTGAAACACTCATTCAAAGGTTAATTAAAAACTTTCATTTCAAATTATCTATTCCTTTTTTGCTTTGAGTTATATTAGCAAAATTCAAAGTAATTATCCATTGATTGTTCTAAAATTCTAAATTTTTTTATTTTGTTTTTTAAAACTTTTTATTTTTACATTTTCATACTACATATTTGTTGAAACAAAAGATACATAAACCATTTTAAAGATATCATTTTTTTTAGTGTTTCAAGGCAATACAAATATGAATGCTGAGTTAGGATATTTTTATGGCAAACAATTGTTACAACAAAAACTTATGATAAATGTTATATAAAATGTTATGATATAATGTTTATCAATTTTATTCAAGACACCATAAAGTTATTTAAAATTAATCTTATGAGCATTAGAATCATTAAACATATAGTCAAATTTTTCTTTATGCTAAATAAATAGAAAAATAAATGTCCTCTGAAATTAATAGCAAAGGCCTCATAAAAGACAACAGACATGTAGAGTTAGCACACCATTGTTATGTACCATTTAGAAACAGGCATATAAATTAGTTGGATTAAGTGTCTTAAAATGACTTAAAGTACTTTAAGGCCTAAAGAGATATTTAATCAACTCCCCTAGCATCCCGCTCTGACCAGAGGTGTCATCAGAGTGGCTTGTGTTAAAAGAACATTTTAGCACTGTTTATGCATTTTTTTAATATATTTTTTAGAAATTGTTGGTTCATATCCTTTTGCAGAACAGATTGGCGTATTCTTTGAAAAAGATAATAAATTTATAGAAAGTTCTAAAAACTCAAATAGTAATGAAGATCCAACTATCATATCTACTAACAGATCAAGTACAACGATGACCTCCCAATATTTGTTTCTGCTAGGTCATTATGAACAACTTGGGAAAACAACAATAAATTTTCTTCAGGCTGGTTTGCTTGCAACTCTTCTGAATAGAAATCTTGTGGAGCCATTTGTTAGGCATTCTCGTTTTTGTGGTCTAAGAAGTGGTTGGACAGGTGCAATGCGCAAAAAGAGTAGGGAGTTTCTTCCGTTAGACAATTATTTTGAAATGGAGTCTATTTATGATATATTTTCAAGATTATCTTTTAATGGCATAGTTAATTTAGAACATTATTTGTCGCATTGTCCTTCTACAACAATGATTTATTTTTTTTATGCTGGAGGAAAAGATGAAACGAAAAGGTATTTAAATTTTTCAGAGGAAGAATATAGTATAATAGAAACAAAGTTAAAAGAAAATGGCGGCTTGACTAACTGCTCTTTTATTGAAGAAAAAATTTCAACTAGTTCAAGAATCAAAGGGTTGTTTATTAGTCAAGGTATTTGTATAGATGTTGAACTCATCAAAACTATTGCACAGCTGAAACAAATAGTACAAATGAAAAAATGTGTTTCTATATTTTTATGGCGTGGAGTTGGTTATCAAAGAGCTCATTTTAATATTACACTTCCACAACCACATGAATTTTATTTGTCTCAAATTAAGTTTAGTAAACTTGTTTATAATGAAATAAATAACTTTATTAGAGAGAAATTCAAACATAATTCTTATCTTGGAATTCACATTCGTTCTGAAAGACTGTTACTGTGGTATAATATTGATAGATTTAAAGAATGTTTAGACAATCTTGAAAAAGTGGTTAGTATACTTGTTGTGAAAAAAAAAATTAAGCATATATTTCTTTCAAGTGATATTGGTCCGCATGGATCTGATCAAATAATAACATTGAATTCTAGTGTAGTTGAAAAAGCTCATAACTATTTTAACAAAAAGTTCGAGGCAATTAATGCAGTGTTATTTACTTCCAATCGTTCAAGGGGTTTAATATATAATGATACTGGATTTATTGCATTAACCGAACTTGGTATTTTGTCTCAATCACATTATTTGGTCACTTTAGGCACCGGTACCTTCCAAGGTTGGATAGTAATGGCATATAAAAATCACAAAAAAATTTCAACAAGGTCTTGGAGTTTGACACAAGTTTGCTCCACAGAATTAAAAAATGTTAGAGACAGAAAAAAATCTTAGTGTTTGTCAAACTAAACACCAACTAGAATATTACCTATAAGTTCCATTTTGTCTTTAAAATTTAGTTATAGTTTTGTTCCAAAAATGCTTATAAAGAGTTTATTTATTGTTAAACAAAATTTAATATTTTTTCAATTTTAATTTATTGCATTTTATAGAAAATTAATTTTATAGAATTTATATTTAATATAGAGTTTAGTTGAAATTAATTTTTCTTTTTTTGTTTTTATTCCAATTTGTGAAGGTTTAAGTTTTAGATTTTTTAAATTTACTTCTAATTTTAATGCAATTGTATTATGTATATGTATTAATATGCAAAAAATTATTAAAAGTAATTTATATTTAGAGGATGAACATTTTTTTAACTTTTTCATAATGTTCCTTATCTTGTTGTAGAAATGTTTTTTAGCTTATGTTTTAAAAATAAAAATGTTTTAAAAATATGTTTTATAAAATAAAAATGATTATTCAGATCATTTTTATTTTTTTATGTAACTTTGATTAAACTAAAAACTTACATACATACTTGGTGAACATACATACTTGGTGAACATACATACTTTGATTAAACTAAAAACTTACATACATACTTGGTGAACATACATACTTGGTGAACATACATACTTGGTGAACATACATACTTGGTGAACATACATACTTGGTGAACATACATACTTGGTGAACATACATACTTGGTGAACATAGATACTTGGTGAACATACATACTTGGTGAACATACATACTTGGTGAACATAGATACTTGGTGAACATACATACTTGGTGAACATACATACTTGGTGAACATACATACTTGGTGAACATACATACTTGGTGAACATACATACTTGGTGAATATACATACTTGGTGAACATACATACTTGGTGAACATACATACTTGGTGAACATACATACTTGGTGAACATACATACTTGGTGAACATACATACTTGGTGAACATACATACTTGGTGAACATACATACTTGGTGAACATACATACTTGGTGAATGCAAAGTAAAATATTATTTTTATTATGTAATATTTTGTTTGCATAAAAAACTTCATACCTAACAGGAGTTAGGTATAAAGAGTTATGCCTCCTTTTCTCACCACACATCTATCTGATCATCTTCTCTTTCGGCAAATACTACACTATATAAATACTAAGGTTTACATAACAATGAAAAGATATTGTATGCCAGCATCTAAATAAATAGCAAACAAATGTGTTTATATCCATAATATGTATGCATAAAGTGCATCTTGAAAGTTTTTATTCCTTCCGGAATAAAAGTTTGGAAACTTTTATTCTCTTCATATTTAAGTCAAGCCTCATTCTACTCCACATTTTTCACCATCTTGAGCAGTTGTTTTATTAAACATTAATCATTTTTTTCATCTTTTTTACAGGAACATCTCTCTTAAGAACAAATAACTTTTATTATTGCAAGAAGCTAATGTAAAAAAGTCTTGTCTGATATTAAGCTCTGTTATTCTCAGTTTACTAATTCTTGTATCTTATCTCAGATGTTAGATTCTAGAGGCTTTAGGTTAGTCTTTAAGAGTGTCATTAACTAAAGTAAGTCTAAAATTCTAAAGTAAGTCTTAATTTCGAATCCTGAACTTTTTCTGAACTTTTTATTTCTCCCCAGAATAAAGCAGATTTATTTGCAAAGAAATTTTACTCTAACTTGACTCTTGAATATAATGGCCATACTCTTCCCAACAGTTAAACAGATGAACCCATTAACAGATCAAACATCGAAATCACTCTGGCTTCCAATCCTAAAGTTAATTCTTAGTTATACACTTCTACAGTTTCTACAGAACTCTCTTCAATTTTTGCTAAACTTTTAAAAAGTGCTAAAAAAGTGGTTCCAATTTTTCAAAACTCTAGAAAACACTTTGACCTCACCAATTATCCTACCATTAGTCTTCACTCTGTTATTAGTTTCTTTATATAAATAAATTAATTTATAAAATGATTTCTTTAATTATGATTTCAACTGAAACCTCTCATTTAGTATGCTTTCTCTCAGGTTCACGTACCAGTCAAATAATCTTTTTTTTCATGCACATTATAAAAATTTTTTTGACTAATGCATAGTGTTTGTATAAAAATTATTTTGCAAACTTGTTTGCTACATAAACAAAAAAAATGTCTTTTTGAAATCGTTTGAATAAAAAAGTTGTTTATTTTTGTGCATATAGTAATTTGACTGTTTAATAAAGTTTTTTTGCTCATATGTAGTTTTCGATGGTGCATTTATACTTACAGTTTTCTTTCACATTTCAGAAATCTTTTTTGGTGTAATTATATTTTAAGTAGTAGTTTGCTAACATTTTTCAGAGTTTCTTACACTTATACATTTTCTATTATTCTGATTTTTTTTTAGTTTTTTTTTTTAAATACTTGTTTCAATCTTTATAAAACCATCTATATGAATTCATCTTTATAAAATCATCTTTATGAAACCATCTTTATGAAAACATCTTTATGAAACCATCTTTATGAGACCATTTTTATAAAAACCATCTATGTAATCTATAAAACATAGTTATGAAAATGAACTATAATTTTAATACATAAATTTTAGCACAATATACAATATAAATATAGTTTAACACCAAATGTTATATGAAAACTGTGCTCCTAGTAAGTCCTCAAATGTGAACATATATCAAACATAATTATTATTAGAATGCTGCGGAGACCCACTTGTATCCAGAGAACAAACAGCAGCATTGTTACACAAAATGTCTCTGCTATAAAATGCTATATAATGACATAGAGTTAATGAAGAAAGTATTATGTGAAACAAAAATTAAACACTGAGAAAAGCTTAAATTTGCACCTTATTCAGTGAATAGGTATTATATCGCTATAAAATTTTATTCAAATTTATTTATTTAGGTATTTGTTGCCTGAACTAAATTCAATTTCTATTTGTTAATTAAGTAAACAATGTAAATAAAAACTTTACTCATTTGACTTAATATTATCACTATGGCAATTTCATCATTTAAATCACCACTGCTATTAGACAAAATATTTTGGTTAAAGTCTTTATTAATTGCTTTTAAAACATCTTGCAAAGACAATTTCTTATTTCTGCAAGTAGCAATCCTTAAGTTAAACTTCAAATTATTTTTTCTGATTGAGTAAAATACATATTAAATACATATACATCCAACATATTTTAAAAAATTTATTATAATAAATGATTGTTTACCTACCTACTTTTAACCTGTTGCCTACCTACCTGTTACCTGTTACAATACTTGCTCTAAACTTTGAACTTTCTTCAAAAACTTGGTCAAAACTGAAACATTTTAGAAAAGATTTTAACAAATGATTGATTTTGCATACACTATCCTGACTATGTTAATAACTCATTTTTTTCCAAAAGTCATTTAGAACTCTAATATTCTTTTGCAATTTTTAAACTCAATCTAGATAAATTTTTATTGATCATTGATCAGAGTTGCACATGGTTCAATACCATGAGGTAGTTTAAATGACTGGAAATTTTGCTTGCATCAGCTCAACTCGGTTTGTAACTCATTTCATAGGATAATCTTGTAAGTAAAATCTTAAAAATATTCATTGTTCTAGTTAATTTTTCAGTTTATAAAGTAATCAAAGTCAGTTTATAAAACAGTCATAAATTCTGATGAGTTGATGGTGCTTTCGTATAGACTGTATAGGATGGTGCTTTCTGATGAGTTGATGGTGCTTTTGTATAGGCACTTTGAAATTTGATGTTGGCTATACTTGGTGTGTATATATATATATATATATATATATATATATATATATATATATATATATATATATATATATATATACATACATATATATATATATATATATATATATATATATATATATATATATATATATATATATATATATATATATATATATATATATATATACCCATATAGTGTAGTCGAAAGAGCGTTTTAATGTAAAAAAAGTCTCTTACGACTACAATTTTAATTACCTCGTCTCTTAAGCTGTATTTGATTGTCGTCGAAATGTCAAAGCAATTAAATTAATGCGGAAGTGCATTAAATTTTATTGTTTTTTAAAATTTTTTTAAAAAACCGCAATTATAACGACTAGAAAGTTTTTTTTTATTAGTGATGTTTTTGTTTTTATTTTATTTAAAAACATTTTTAAAACATGCGTAATTGTTGCTACATCGACTATCTTATAGCCTGACTCGCAACGGAGTGCTGCTACATCGACTGACAAATAGCCTGACTCGCAACGGAGTGCTGCTACATCGACTGACAAATAGCCTGACTCGCAACAGAGTGCAGCTACATCGACTGACAAATAGCCTGACTCGCAAGGGAGTGCTGCAACAACGACTGACAAATAGCCTGACTCGCAAGGGAGTGCTGCTACATCGACTGAGGGTTTGGTTTGGGCAGGCAGTCTATCATTTGAAAAAAAAAAAAAAATTTAAGTTTTTAAACTTTTTCTGGTCTGGTTTATTAACGCGCTCTTTAAAACTACAGTTTATGGGAAATTCTTTTCAACTACCATGAGTACAAGAGTATAAATATATATATATATATATATATATATATATATATATATATATATATATATATATATATATATATATATATATATATATATATATATATATATATATATATACATACATATATATATATATATATATATATATATATATATATATATATATATATATATATATATATATATATATATATATATATATATATATATATATATATATATGTATATATATATATATTATTGTAAGAGTATAAATATATATATATATATATATATATATATATATATATATATACATACATATATATATATATATATATATATATATATATATATATATATATATATATATATATATATATATATATATATATATATATATATATATATATATATATATATATATATATATATATATGTATATATATATATATTATTGTAAATGTAAAAAAATATCTATTATCAATAAGTTTCAAAATTATCCTATTTTTTTATAATTTTGAAATAAAGATAGTTTTAAACCTCATTTCAATTTTTAGGTTAAAAAAATAATTTTTGCTTAATTTTACAACATTGCATTAGTAAGTGAAAAAAATGAATTTTCTCAAAATATAAACAAATTTAAACTTTGAACAAGAAAAAAATGACAATTAAAATTTTATTACATAATGATGTTAATGGTTATAAAACTTATATAGGATGTTGAATCTTTTCTAAAAAAATTTTATTTTATGATGAAAGAATTAATTGCATTCATAAGAAGATGAAGCCAACTAAAAATAATTATGCTAAAAATAACAAGGTAGTAAAGTCTGGTGGAGGGAAGAAAAGTAAAGAAGGAAAAAAAATTGGTTTTAAGAAAGCTCACACAAAAGTATTTAAAGGAAAGAACAAAAACTTTTTAAAAAAGAAAAAATTTGATAAAAAACCTGAAGTCAAATCTGATCAGAAACAAATAAATTGTAAGTAACTTTTAAAATATTATTAGTTTTATCTTCAAGTTAAATAATAAATTCATTATGTAACTTATTTTTGTTTTTTTATATCATTTTTATTTGTTTATAAAGATATATGTTTATCAGCTTTTTTTGCCGACCTAAATCCATAAAGTTTTTTTTGCATAAATAAGAAAAAACAAAGAATAAAGAAACTTATCATTAACTATCTCTCCAAGCCAAACCCTCAGTCAATGTAGCAGCAACTCCCTTGTATGTTCTTTGATATCAGTTGATGTGTGCACTGAAGCCCTCACAGCTTGCTAAATCAGTATGACATTAGATTGTTGATCTAAATGTGCTTTTATAGTTGCATATACATATACTCCCCCCATCACCTCCCATACACACACATCAAAAATTTGATTTAATTCTTTAATTCTTTGAGTTTGTACTTGTATTTAAAAAAGGGCAAGAGAGTTTCCAGTTTGCTTATATGTGCAGTAGTATTCATGAACTGAATATTTATTTCAAACACAAAAAAAGACAATAGTTTTTCAGCTTTATTGCTAAGTCTGCTAAGTTACCACAATCAATAGAAGTTTTTAAAATAGTTCACTCAAATTCAGCTCTAGGAATTAAGGTCGGCAAAAGTTGCCAACTTCAGAGTTTTAAAACCTAATTTTATTTCCTATTTTTAAATTAAATTTTTGTTAAATTAAATAAATAGCTGTTATAATATTTTTAAATTAAAATGTTGAATTATTTAAATTTTGGATAAAATAATTAAAATAGCAATGGTAAAATAAATGTTTTATTTATATTCTAAATAAAGTTGAGAGTACTTAGTAAAACAAAAAATCCTTGAAAATTTTAGCTTCTAGCTCCAAGAGGATCATGAAATATGATTATTTTACTTTTAACTGATCTTGGCCAGGCCCCTCTTGTCCCCTCAGAAGTGTGACTTTTGTTTAAAGGTTCCAAGTCACATAGCTTTCAAAATATTTGATCTTTTGACTTAAAAATTTGTACCTGGCTATTTTCAGAGTCGAAAATTCCAATGAAATAATCAGAAATGTAAAAAATTATTTTTAAGTACTTGTAATTATCAATTTAAATAAATTTAGGCAATTTTTTATATACCTGATTTTGATGCTCAAGAAAGCCATGTGGCCTTGATGATATAAAAAAAAAATTGTACACATTATTCTATGTTTAATGATCTTTCAGAAAACATAAAAATTTTGATCTGCAAGTATATGGATTTCCATATATGGTTAACGGGGCACAGGCCCAACTATTTTGTAGCAGAATCTTGCCATACATTTTTCACTACCTTTCAGACTAGCTGGAACGATGAAAATTTTGGTATTCATGTAATGTCAATAAATGTGCATTTTAAAATTAAAAAAGGGCTCAAGACATTAGGGGAGGGGGCTGGAGGGATGTGTCCCACTTTTTTGACCGGAATCTTGAGATGGATTTTTCAGTATCTTCCAGACAAGCGTGAGCTTTGAAACTTTCAACATTTGTGTAGTCCTGATGAACATGCATTAAAATTGTTTCAGGTCAGATGACCAGAAGGTCCATGGGGCTGGGGCACCAGGGACCATGCCCCACTTATTTTCTCAAAAAAAAAAATTTTTTTTTCTTTTCTTTAACACATTTAAGATAAATTTTTTTTTTTTAGATTTTTTTTTTTTTAGATTTTCATTTTTAACAACGTTAAACGTATCTTTGATTTCATTGCTTCACAAATTTTTGTGATTTATATTTGTTCAATATGGTTTTTGATCATTCTATGTTCAATGATCTTTTTTAAAATTTTTTAAGAAAGTTAATGTTTATAAGAATTTTGATTTGCATGTATAAGATTAAAAACAGTCTAAAATAATGGTTTTAACGTAATTTTATTTTGTATAATTTAAAATTTTAATTAAAAAAGATTAATATATTTAAATGCTAAAATGGTAACAGCAAGTTGTTTAATTAACTTCCAACAGAAAAAAACATCCTGTCATAACATATCAATAAAAAAGAAATTTATCAATTTTTCAAAATCATTATTTTATTTGATATTTGCTAATTCTAAAATGTTAACAGCAAGTTATTTTATTAAATAAGAACTATTTACAGTAACAAAAAACATCCTGTCATTACACTAGTATAGAAGAAATTTGTTACCTATTAAAGTCATCATTAACATTTTTAACATTAACAAATTGATTATAACTAAACTTTGTGAAATAGAAACTTTCTTTTTGTCAAAGTAAGATAAAAGAAATCAATCACTGTTTAGTTTTGTATTACCATAGTGATTGCATAAGTTGCTTTCATTGAATTAATTTCTATTGGTTTCTCATTTTTAAATTAATCTCAAAATGTTTTTAGTGTTACAATAAGAATGGATTCATGTGATTTTGGAAAAAAATTAAATGATACTTGTCATAAACTAAGTTATTGTAGAAAGATTGATTTAAAGAAATTTGATTGCTATAGAGAAGATGCCAGAGAAGAATTTATTTGGAGATCTGGAATAACAGATGATAAAATTTTAACAATCTGCCTTCATCATGAAAAGATTTTTGGTACACACTTTGAAAAGAGCGCTCGCTTCATAAACGAGTGGTTCTGAGTTCGATCCCCACCACATCCCTGGTAGTACCGCGCTCAACTCGTTTCTCCGCGCAGCGGCCTTGTTCTTCAAGGTTCGTGTTTCGGAGTTATAGAGTTGAGAGAGGGTTATAACCACAAATAAGCAGCCTCTTCGTCTGTAGTGGCCTTCTCGGCCTTGAGGAGGTGAATTAAAATAAAAAAAAAAAAAAAAAAAAAAAGAAGCACACAAAATGTTGTAATTTATTGGACAAGCATAAATAAAAAAAAAAAGCAATCAAAGGTAAATATTGTTGATAAAAAAATACTGTAAAATCTTTTTTGAATAATGAAATTAAAATCTACTAGTTTAATAGTTTGAAAAAAAGCTGATCTGGTTATGCAATGTATATTGAAATAAGTACAAATAATTTTCATATTCATAGGTAGTTACTAAAATCAAATTGTTCTTTTCTTTTCAGGGAGTCATGTAATAACATTAGACATGGCAAAACAATTGAGAATTAATTTTCCAAATGTTGTGCCTGGATATCAACTTTGTCGGAGCTGCTTTGACGCTATAATCAGTAAATTACATGAACAAGATAATTGTGAATTTGAGGAATCTATTTCATGTGCTACTTCTGAAAAGTCACGAGAGGCATTAAATGTTAGTTTGGAAACAATAGGTTTATCCCCCATAAAACTTCATGGCATTCCAAAGCATCAACGGCTATCTGTTGCTAAAAGTAAAGTTATAAAAATAATGTCAAAGTATGAAGAGCATATTTCAAAAGTATATAATGTTAGGGAAGAAGAACTGAAACATAAAATTCCTCATACGAAAATTATTGACAAAAGTAAATGTGATGATTTAGACAAACTAACAGCAGAAATAAAAGAAAAGTTGATTGTTTCTGACCAAAAAACTAAAATTCAGTTATTAACATTTACACCCGAGTCTTGGTCAAGAAATTTTGCTGCAAGATATTTCAACGTCACTATATACCAAATTAAAGAAGCGCGCAAAGTAAAGAAAATAAGTGGGATTTTTTCAGTTCCAGGCACTAAGAAAGGAAAAACATTTTCAGAAATAACATTAAATAGAGTAACATTAAATAGAAATAATATATACCATGATGAAGAATTTACTAGACAAATGCCTGGTAAAAAAGATTATGTAAGTATTGGTAGAAAACAACACATGCAAAAGCGTCTTATTTTATGTAATCTTAAAGAACTTTATGTTTCTTTTAAAACTAAATATCCTCAAGAAGTTATTGGATTTTCTAAGTTTTGCAGTTTAAGACCAAAATGGTGTATAACTGTTGGAGCATCAGGCACTCATTCTGTTTGTGTATGTACCCTCTATCAAAATGCAATACTCTTGACTAATGCTATACAAATGAAATGTACTTACAAAGATATGATGACAAAAGTTGTTTGTGATGTGACAAGTAACGAGTGCATGGTTCATCGGTGTCCGAACTGTCCAGGTATGGTTTCTTTAAAGAAGTTTCTGGATGCACAACTAATTGATAATGACAATGACGAGGAGGTGTCATTCAATTAGTGGCAGAAAACAGACAGAACAACATTGATCTATCAGACAACAACAATTGAAGAATACAAATTGATGTTATCAGAGGCAATAAACAAGTTAACAGCTCATTCCTACATTGCAAAATGTCAATCAAGATACCAAAAGCAACAAAAGGAAAATTTAGCAAAAAACTGCTGTATTGTCTTAGTTGACTTTGCAGAAAACTTCACTTTTGTGATTCAAGATGAAATCCAAAGTTACCATTGGTGCAAAAGTCAATACACATTGCACCCTGTTGCCCTCTATTTATTAAACAAAAATGACCAACTTGAAGAAAAATCGTTTTGTTTCATGTCAGAAGATAATGAGCATGACACTGGTTTTGTGTATGAAGTTCAAACACAAATAGTAAACTATTTAAAAGAATATCATCCTAAAATTTCAAAGATTCTTTATTTTTCTGATGGTTGTGCTGCACAGTATAAAAACCACAAAAACCTTTACAATATCTGTCTCCATAAAAATGATTTTGATATTGATGCAGAGTGGACATTTTTTGCTACAAGTCATGGTAAGCCATCATGTGATGGTATTGGTGGCATTGTAAAACGATTAACTACAAATGCAAGTCTACAAAGGCCCATAAATGACCAGATATTGAATTGTAACAAAATGTTTGACTACTGTACTAACAATATTAAAGGGATTATTTTTTTCAAGATTGAAAAAGAAAGACTGACAGAATTGCGCACCACTTTGAAAACATGTTTTGAGCTAAGTAGAACAATCCCTGGAACTAGGAGCTATCATCAATTTAAACCAGAATCTATAGATACTATTAGCTTTAAACGAACAAGTGAAGATGTTCGTATAACAGGCATTTTTTCTTTTTCTGGTATTCAAAGTTCTCAAAATGATCAGCAAATTAACATTGATGCCTTGAAATTTGGTGAATTCATTATGTGTAAATATGATGCATTTGATAGGATTGGTATGATCAATGAAATTGATAATATAGAGCAAGATGTTATGGTAACGTTTATGCACCCGCACGGTCCTTTTAATAAACTTTTCTGGCCATCCAGAGTAGATGAGTGTTGGGTTCCAATTACCAACATAACTTGTATAATTGATGCACCTGTAACAACAAATGGAGGTTTGTATACTTTGACCGTCAATGCATCTAAGCTAATCTTAGCATTATCTTGACAATTTCTTTTTTTTGTATTTTATTTTGTAAATAATGAAGTAAAATGCATAAAGCAATAAAATATTTGAATACAATATTTTCAAAGTTATCTTAAATTTAAGGCAAAAAAAAAAAAAAAATTTTTTTGAGAAAATAAGCGGGGCATGGTCCCCAGTGCCCCAGCCCCATGGACCTTCTGGTCATCTGACCTGAAACAATTTTAATGCATGTTCATCAGGACTACACAAATGCTGAAAGTTTCAAAGCTCACGCTTGTCTGGAAGATACTGAAAAATCCATCTCAAGATTCCAGTCAAAAAAGTGGGCACATCCCTCCAGCCCCCTCCCCTAATGTCTTGAGCTCTTTTTTAATTTTAAAATGCACATTTATTGACACTACATGAATACCAAAATTTTCATCGTTCCAGCTAGTCTGAAAGGTAGTGAAAAATGTATGGCAAGATTCTGCTACAAAATAGTGGGGCCTGTGCCCCGTCATTAACAAAATAATGGGACGGAAAAAAATAAACACAACTTCTTTACCAAAAAGAATTAATATTAACAATACAGACATATTCTGTGAAAAACAAATATCCGAAGAATTTAACAAATACTTTATAAATATTGGTCCAAATCTATAAAAAAATAAATCCAACAACTGATTCATTTAAAAATTATCTAACACCCACAAATAAAGCCATCATGTACGATAAAGAATTTGTATATAAAGAATTTGAAGAAGCCTTTTCCTCTTTAAAAAAAAAGAAAGCACCTGGATTTGATGAAATAACTAGTGATTTAGTTATCTTTAATAAAACCCGTTTAAGTAGACCTCTGATCCATATACTAAAGCTCTCAATAACATCTGGGATTTTCCCTGATGTACTTAAATTAGCAAAAGTAATCCCTATATTTAAATGTAATGAACATTCGGACATAACCAACTTTAGACCTATATCAATACTTTCTGTTTTTTCAAAACTCTTCGAACGTGTAATTTATAATAGAATCTATAATCACTTTACCAAAAACAAATTATTTTACCCAAACCAGTTTGGATTTCAAAAAAACCTTTCAACAGAGCATGCAATTATTGAATTAGTTAATCAAATAACCAATGGTTTTAATCAAAACAAATTTACTTTAGGAGTTTTTATTGACTTATCAAAAGCTTTTGATACAGTTGACCACTGCATCCTATTAGATAAACTAAAATACTATGGTATAATTAATAAAACTTACAATTGGATTAAAAGTTATCTTACCAATAGAAAACAATATGTGTGCAATATACAATTTGGAGTATTAAATGTTTTATGTGGAGTTCCCCAAGGATCTATCCTTGGTCCACTTCTGTTTCTAATTTTTATAAATGATTTTTGCAATGCATCTTTAAAACTAAATTCAGTCATGTTTGCTGACGATACAAATCTATTTCTTACTAACAGTGATATCAAGAATCTATATGCAGACATGAATATCGAACTAATTAAAGTAAATAATTGGTTTAGAGCTAACAAACTCTCGCTTAACTCAGAGAAAACAAAATATATATTATTCCATAAAAAGGCGTAAGAAGAAAACCTTCCTCTTAAGTTGCCTGACCTTATCCTAAATGATAACTTAATTAAAAACAAGCCAGCATTAGATTCTTAGGAGTTCTTGTTGATGAGAAGCTATCCTGGCTTCCTCAAATAAGATATATTCAATCTAAAATCAGTAATATAATTGGTATGATGTATAGAGTTCGCTCATATATCAATAAACAAAGTCTAAAACTAATTTACTTTGGACTAATTCATTGCTTTATCAGCTATGCAAACATATCATGGGCAAGTACTCAGCCATCAAATCTATAGTCTACAAAAACACGCATGCAGAATCATTTACTTTAAAAATAAGCGGGAGCATGCAAAACCTATAATGAAAGATATGAAAATGATGGATGTTTTTGAAATAAATATCTATCAGCATTTAATTTTTATGTATCAATTTAATAATAATCTCTCTCCTACAAACTTTACTAACAAGTTTGAAATAAACATAAATGAAAACTACTATTTAAGAGCAAATATAAGTAACACATATAAACTGCCTCAAAACCTTAATAAATATACTGAATATAGCATTGCATATCGGGGGCCAAATATATGGAATAGATATCAAAAAGGATCCAAATGTATGGCAAAGTCATTAAGTTCATTTAAGTTTCTGATAAAAAAAGAAATTTTTAAAATTTGATTATTATTTGCGCTTAAAAGGATTGCAAAGTAATTTTCTTTATAATCTTATTTATTTGTTTTTATTGATCAGCGCAGCAGTTTTATGCCCATTAGGGTTTTTAATTTAATTTAATATCCATAAGCTAATGAAAATGTATATAGAAAATGTATGTATATAGTATAACCTAATGAAAAGATTGCGATGACGTTTTGTCATCTTCATTATCTTTGAGCCCCTGTCTGTTTAACTCTTTATTTTATAAAGATCATTGTAAAAAAGTATAGTTTATTTTATATACTGTATATACAAAAACGCTGCTTGTTGACAAGATTTTACTGTCTTCTTTGTTATACGGACATATTTCTTTCTTTCTTGTATATATATGTGTTGATTATATTTGTTAAACAGCAAAATAAATGTGAAAAAAAAAAAAAAAAAAAAAAAAAACATATATGGAAATCCATATACTTGCAGATCAAAATTTTTATGTTTTCTGAAAGATCATTAAACATAGAATAATGTGTACAATTTTTTTTTTTATATCATCAAGGCCACATGGCTTTCTTGAGCATCAAAATCAGGTATATAAAAAATTGCCTAAATTTATTTAAATTGATAATTACAAGTACTTAAAAATAATTTTTTACATTTCTGATTATTTCATTGGATTCTTCGACCCTGAAAATAGCCAGGTACAAATTTTTAAGTCAAAAGATCAAATATTTTTAAAGCTATGTGACTTGGAACCTTTAAACAAAGGTCACACTTCTGAGGGGACAAGAGGGGCCTGGCCAAGATCAGTTAAAAGTAAAATGATCATATTTCATGATCCTCTTGGAGCTAGAAGCTAAAATTTTCAAGGATTTTTTGTTTTACTAAGTACTCTCAATTGTATAAAAATCAGCAAAATCTGAGATGTATGGTGACATTTTTGAAATTTTTTGGCTCAATTGACATGGAATTACCCTATAATGAGTAAAATAACGTTTTTTTTTAATTCTAAGTAGAACAATTAAATTCTAAGTAGAACAATTAAATTCTAAGTAGAACAATTAAATTCTAAGTAGAACAATTAAATTCTAAGTAGAACAATTACATTTTAAGTAGAACAATTAAATTAACAAAACAAAAATTTTTTCTATTAATTATAAACATTTTTTAAAATTAATTTAAAAAACACAACTTTAAAATGTTTTATTTACTTAAATAAATCTTTGTTTTAATGTTGTGTTTTTTAAATGAATTTGTTTATATTTTAATTATTTTATTTAGAATTTAGTTAAATTCTAAATAAAATTCTTTTGCAAATTTGGAGGATTGTAAATCAAAAATCATTTTAAGACTTTTATAGTAAAAGAGATAGTCTTGATTGGTTCTTCTTTAACTTTTTTATTGGAACAAATAAAGCCTATAAAATTTTGTAATGTTTTTAAATAGTTTTAGTTCTTTAATTTGGACAATCATCGATTGAGCACAATTTTAGTATTAATAAATACCTTCTAGAAAATGCAAAGGAAAAATCTTTACTGTTGCTTTTTTTTTTCTAATATTTTTGCAAAATATAAAATGGTACATTTAAAAATGATACTTTATAGTTTTAAGAACAAGTAATAATCACCATTGTATATACTTATTATTTTACCTATAATTATTTTCTTTCTTTCTTTGCCTTATGGAAATCTAATATATTTGCTTATTGCTTACACCATATCTACAAAATTTGTAAAATATTTTGTTAACTGAAATCTATAATAAATTTTAGTTATGAGTATATAGTTTGAATTATTGGAAGAAAGTCATATATTTTTTATTCTTTAAGGTTATATTTAGGTGTTGTCTTGTCCTGAAGTTTACTTGTTTAATGATATATTTAAAGTGTTTTCTTACTTTTTAGTAAAAGATAGCAAAAAAAGAAAATTACTGACATCTGAAGATGAAGTGATAAAAAAGAAAAAAAGAAGCCAACCAGAAATTATATCCAATCTTATGACTATTTATGAACAGTTGAGAAGGTTAACTCTTTTAAAATTTTTTTATGAGCACAATTAAATTTTAAAATGAGGCTTATCATCATCAAGATTATGATCATCACCGTGATCATTATCATAATCATTATAACCATCCTTAGTTTTCAAAACTTTAAAAATTTTTGCTCAAAATTAAAAATCATTAAAACTATTATAATATTTTTCTTTTATTTATATTATATTTATAATTTTGTGTTTTTATTTTACCTCTAAAAAAAATTGTGTCATTTAGAATTTTTTTCAGTTTATATTTGCATTTTTAAAGAAAAGAGTTGTACAGAAATACTAATTTACTAAATGAATTTGAAAATTACATGAAAATGAAATGAATCTGTTTTTGTGCAAAAATATGTTTTTCTTTCTAAAATAATTTTTGCATAAGATTTGTGCGTAAAAAATCTTTACAAATAATTATGTACTTTTACATTTTAAATTGGTTTAAATTGATAATTTTATTGTTTTTTAAGTTGCTTTTTTTTATCATTAAACATAATATTTATACTATTTAAATAAATGAAAAAAAAGGTTTTACATTTTTTAAATACAATTCTTATTTATAAATTTATGGGTTGTTCCATAAAAAATTTAAAGTATGAATTTAATGTGCTATATTTTTCTATATGCTATATTTTTCTATATAATGTTCTAATATCCAAATATATTGTTGGCTTAGCATAGGAACAACCACAAATAGTCATTAAGACTAATCCAAAGTAGCGTTTGTTATTGACCAACATTTTTGCGTACCGAAGTACAACTTAAGCGCTGAGTTCTATTGTTGTGGCAGGATTTGAACTCGTATCCTACCTTCCCACCCTCCTCTTAAATGTTTTATGGGAGAAATTTACAGCTCTCGTAAAAGTATAATTTTTTCTCTCAAAAGTTTAATTATCATTGTAACTAAAATAAAATAAAGACATTTTTATTAAACGAAAATAAAAATTTATTGCATATTAAACTGCAATGCTCTTTAAAAAGCACGGTTGTTGCACACAAAAAAAAAAAGTTAAAAAAGAGCACCAATCATAAATCTGAAGACGTTAAGTAAATATGCAATAAAAATAAGTGAATGGATAGCACAGTGATAGCTGAAACCATTTGGAGATGTAATGGCATTCGTTGAGAAAATGCCATTGATGGCATTTTCTCAATGAAACAAATTAAAAGTACATCCGGTGATGGACTACCGTGAGCTGAATGCCGTGAAGTGAATTTGTATCCAGTCATACTGGAGATGGCAATGTTTGCAGTACCAAACTTTGCAACTGGAGAAAGTTGGGAAAAAATCTTGAGATAATCGATTTAAAGAAAGCGTACCTGCAGATTCATGTTGATGAAGCATTATGGAAACATCAAGTTGTAGAATATGAAGGGCAGCGTTACTGTCTAACAAGATTGGGTCTTGTTTTAAATGTGGTGCTCAGAATAATGAATAAAATCTTAAGAAAGGTATTATCATTAGGCAAAGTTTTTAAGTCTGGGACAGATTCATTTATTGATGACATCATTGTCAATAATAACATAGTGTCAAGTTGCAGAGTTCAAGAACTCTTAAAAAAAAAGACTTGGATTCTAAGAATCATAGAATTTTGCCTATGTTACTCATAGAATTTTGCCTATGCCTCCTTGATAATGGCTATGCAACTCTTCCTGTTATCTCCATATGAGGGTACAGCTCTAAAACTCAGTTTAATGGTTCTGAGGCCGGCTGGTAGTAAGGTTTCCCAAACTCTGTGGTAGCTCTCAGAGAGGCTGATTCCATCAACAGCTGCAAAATATCAGAGTATTAACAGTGCCATGTTGCGCATGGATGGTGTCCCTGTTAATGCTTTTGGTGTGCATTGTCAAGGCCACATAAGGAGCCCTATGTCACGGCTTAGGGTTAATTAACAGGACTGAGACAACTGCATAGCTCATTGATTAGGAGGCTGTGCTCTATCTATGAATGAGTCAAGTTCTCATTAAACCCAAATCATGACCAAAGTAACCAAAAATTTAAAACCTAAAAAACCATCCCCACCACCTAAATATTTTAATATATCTTTTACAAATATTCGCTGTCTACGAAGCAACTTTCCATCAGTTGAGTCTTACCTCCTGCAAAATTCACCAGACTTGCTTGCACTCAGTGAAACAAATTTAAGTTCTGCAATTCCTTCTTCAGATGTCAGTGTTGATGGGTACTATCCTTTGATTCGTAAAGACTCCAATAGTCACATGCTAGGTTTAGGGGTATACATACGCATTAATTCCCCTATTTGTTGTGAAATCAGGTTCGAATCCTTTGACCATTCTTTTATGTGCTTTCGCCTAGCACCTCTTCACTCTATCACCTTTCTCTTTGTTCTTTATCGTTCTCCTTCTTCCCATGATTGCACTCTTTTAGATGTTATCTCTGATCAAATTGACCATGCCCTCTCTCTTTACCCCTCTGCCAATATTGTTGTTGTTGGTGATTTTAATGCCCATCACACTGAATGGCTTGGCTCTAACACCACTGATCCTGCTGGCACTAAAGCCTTTAACTTCTGCGTTTCTCAATCTCTTACTCAGATAGTTAACTTTGTGACTCGTTTTCCTGACAACCCTAATCATTTACCTTCACTCCTTGACTTATGTCTTGTCTCTGACCCTAGCTTATGTTCAGTTTCTCCCTTTTCTCCCTTAGGTGGTTCTGACCATGCAATGATCTCTATAAATCTTTCTTCTCGTACTTCTTTTTTGGGCTCACCTTATCATCGCACCACCTACTACTACCCTAAAGCTGATTGGGATTCCTTTCGTGATTTTCTTCGTGATGGTCCTTGGGCTGATGTTTTTTCTCTCTCAGCTGACAAATGCGCCTCCTACGTAACCTCCTGGATTCAGGCTGGAATGGAAGCTTTTATTCCTTCTCGTCGGTTTCAAGTCAAGCCTCACTCTACTCCATGGTTTTCTCCTTCTTGTGCGGCTGCTATATCCAATCGTAACCAATTTTTTCATCTTTTTCAAAAGAACAACTCTCTTGAGAACAAACGGCTATTTATTATTGCAAGAAATCGATGTAAAAAGGCGCTTTCTGATGCTAAACTCCATTATTCTCAGTTCACTAAATCTCGCATCTTATCGCAGAAGTTAGGCTCTAAAGACTTTTGGAAAATCTTCAACAGCATTGTTAACAAGGGTAGATCTAACATTCCATCTCTCATTCATGGGACTGATCTTGTTACCTTGCCCAGGGATAAGGCAGAACTGTTTGCAAAGAACTTTTCTTCTAATTCCACTCTTGAATCTTATGGACATTCTCTTCCTTCCATTCCAGTCAAACAGGTTGACCCATTGTTAGACATTCAAATCACTCCGGCTTCTGTTGCTAAAGTCATATCTCAATTAAACTCGTCTACAGCTTGTGGTCCAGACAACATTCCTGTCACAGTCTTGCAGAATTGTTCTCCAGAACTTTCTTCAATTCTCTCTAAACTATTTAACAAGTGTTTGACTGAGTCTTGTTTTCCTGCTTGTTGGAAAATGGCATCTGTGGTTCCAATCTTCAAAAACTCTGGAGAAAATTCTGACACCTCCAATTATCGTCCGATCAGTCTTCTTTCTGTTATTAGCAAGGTCTTTGAGTCTTTGATCAACAAATTTCTCACATCTCATCTTGAGTCAAATAAACTGCTGTCAGACAATCAATACGGTTTTCGATCCTCTCGCTCTACGGCCGACTTGCTAACTGCTGTAACTGAAAGATTTTATCGTGCATTAGATGGAGGCGGTGAGGCTAGGGCTATTGCTCTCGACATATCTAAAGCTTTTGACAAAGTTTGGCATGCTGGTCTTCTCCATAAGCTTGCTTCATTTGGTGTTTCTGGGAAAGTTTTTGAGATTATCAAATCATTTCTTTCTGACCGGTTTATTAAAGTCATCCTTGAAGGCCAACACCTTTCTTTATTTCCAGTAACTTCTGGGGTTCCTCAAGGTTCCATCCTGGGCCCTGTTTTGTTTCTTATCTACATAAACGATCTACCTGACAACCTTTCATCTAAAGTAGCTCTTTTTGCTGATGACTCAACTTTATACTCCTGTCTTGACAAAAAGTCTTCTCTTTTCGATCGCCTAGAACAAGCAGCTGATCTTGAATCTGATCTCACTTCAGTAATAGATTGGGGTTCACAGTGGCTTGTGAATTTCAACTCTAAAAAAACCCAATTGCTTACTGCAAACAACTACCGTAATATGGTCAACATTCCTATATTAATGAATGGCAATCCTCTTACTGAGTCGTCCTCTTTACGACTTCTCGAATTATCGCTTACTACTGACCTTTCATGGAAACCATATATACAATCGATTGCTAAATTAGCTTCTGCTAAGGTTGCTTCTCTTTATCGTGCTCGCCATTTCCTTACTTCTGATTCCATTCTCTAC